GGGAGGGAGGGAGGGAGGGAGGGAGGGAGGGAGGGAGGAGGGAAGGGGGGAGGGAAGGGGGAGGGAAGGGGGGAGGGAAGGGGGGAGGGAAGGGAGGAAGGGACCCAACTGCTCAGGATTCTGTGCCCGACACCCTGGGGACATGGGCATGGCTGCCCTGGCCACGCTGAGGACCATGCATGTCCCCCAGCTGTCAGCCCCACACAGCTGGGTGAACCAGCAGCAGGCTCACTGCTCTGCAGGCTTTCTGCAACAATTCGCAAGCAGAGACTCTGAGCCCCAGTACCCAAGCACCATGAGACACCTACTGCTCCCTGGATGACAGTCATGGTGTCCACTGGACTCTAGGGTTTTCCACAAGGAGGCACTAACCGAGCTTGGGCAAAGCTCCTGGAATCCCTCCACTGTTTCCCTGCCCTTCCCCGCACATTTCGTCCCTTGGCTGCCGAGCCCGTGAAACCCAGTCACCAGTTCGCAGACGCCCCCACTCTTCCTGAGCACGTGCCAGGCCTGAGGAGAGGGCACCAGCCCGGGGCGCCGAGAGTGCCCGTCAGTGACTCCCAGACAGGCAGGGGAGGGCCCGGTGGGCCGGCATTCCCAGCAGCCCTTCAGCCCACGCCCCACGCTCAGCCCAGTCTAGACCCGGGGAGCAGGGGGTGCTCGCTCAGTCACCCACTTGTTGCCCAGGCTGTGGCTCTTCCTGTGTCTCGGAACTGGGGGCGTGGGGAGGCTGCCAGCCACAGATGCGTCAGGACAGGTGGGCCGCCGGCTGAACCTCGCAGAACTGGAGCCACCAGCGGGGGCTGTGAACAGAGCAGAGAGAGTGATGGTGGCGCTGCGGAGGCTCAGGGGAGGGGGGCCGGGTTTGGGGGAAGGCACCTGGCCCGGCTGTCATGGGGGGCAAGGTTCTCCCACGTCCCGTGGGCTTCCACTCGCGAGACCCTGACCCCTCCCTCCCTGCTTCCAGGCTGACAACCGACCGTCAGGAGGGCCAGTGTCCTGCTCTGCGTGGTGGCCCCCTGACCGGGCAGCCCTGCTGCTCATACGGGGGAGAGTGCCGTGGACAGACGTGGGGTTGGACGCGGGGATCAGCATCCGGCCTATTTCCCTGCGGTGAGACTCTTCGGGTGGCAGAACTGAGCCCTAACAGCGTGACTTCTGAGTCCAGGTCCAGGGCCCTTACCCTGTGCCCTTCCACGGCCACTTTCTGTTCTCAACCACACATCCGACAAAAAGGGATGTATGGAGGGCTTATTGGGGAGCAGCGGATTTAATGAGAGGAAGCACAGCTAGGTAGGCAGGGGTTCAGACCCCTGGCCTCTCAGCTATTGCCTAGGTGACCTTGGATGGGTTACTTACTCCCAGAGCCTCAGTTTCCTCATCTGAAAGGTGGGAATAATTCACTCACCTGGCAGGTGGTTGGGAGGGGTCATGTAGTAATGTGTGCAGTTCACTCACACAGAGTTAGCGTTCACTCTGGTTTTATTATGATAGTATTACCTTGTCCTCCTCAGCCCCAGTCATGGGGCCAACAGGAGGTCATCAGAGCCAGGGGGTTGGGGCCACAAACCCCACTGAGCCGCACATGCAGAGACGGAGGCAGAATCCTTCATGCTGGCCATGTCCACAGCTATATTTTGTGGGGTGTGGCCTGGACCACTGTGGTACTCTTTAGTTTCTGTGGCTTGGGAAGGGAGGTGTTTAAGGTGTTACGAAGACGGGTTCTTGGACTCTAATCAACAGAAACTGATAAGAGGTCAGACGAGGAATTCAGGCAAGGCTTTATTCGGACTCATGCTCACAGGGGAGCGAAAACAAGTAACAGGTTCCCTTGCTCACTCCCTGAAGGGGGGCGAGCTGGTTCCTTTCGTGGGGTCAGGTCAGGGGTGGATGGGTGGGTCAGGCTGCAGGGGTGGCTTAGGTGGTGTGCCCACCCCTTGGGGGTGCTGTGTGCAGGGATCACGTGTAGTACCCTGCTCAGAAGTGGCAGTTGGGTTTTGGCCTTTTTGTATCTTATTGTTCATAATTTGCCCCAACTGCCCATGCCCGCAGTTATTTTTAGTCCCTTATAGTTTCTCTGTATCTGTTGCTGGAGGAGACGTTTGTCCAGGTGCAAGCCCTGCAGCAAAGGGCCCCAGGTCCCAGCCTGTCTCAAAGGGACATGACCCCAGATGCCAACTTAGCCTTAGCTACCTGGGCCAGACACCAGAAGTGGGGGCCAGGGTTTCCACAAAGGGGCTGGGCCACTTCCTGCGGAGCACATCAAACACCCTGCAAACCAAGGGGCTGCTGCCTGGCTGTGCTGGGGAACGTCCCGGAGGGCCTATGAGGCCCGAGGTCCATCCAGGACTCCAGATCCTCCGCCACAAGATGCTGCAGATCCACAAGTGACCTAAGGGTTCCCATGTCCTCCAGCATGCTTGGTTCATTCTTATTTTAGTGTCCAAAACAATGACCCCTGTCCCCAGCCTGTCCACTGCGGAAAGTCTAGCTCCCCTCTGGCACTTCGGAGGGTTCACAAGGCAAGGAGCTCACATCATCTTAAGCTCTGAATTCCTGCTCCCAGCTGCCATCCCGCTCCCTGCACCCCCTCCACGCCGCACCCCCACCCCCACCTTCTCCTTCCCTTCCCCAAGCTCCCGCCGCCACACCCTTACTAGGTCTCCGCTGTTGCGTTCAACAGCTATTCCCCAGGAGTCTCCTCCCTCCTTCAGCCCCCTGCACGACTCTTAGACCCCCTCCCCTCCAAAGGATGCCACCCTCCTGCCATGAGAAAACTGTGCTTGTCAAATTTGATCTTCCTCGCGTCTGGCTCTGCAATTGCCACGTGCACCTCCGTCCACGCCAGCCTACCTGCCAGGCCTGGGGAGCCGGGACCACCTCCCAGCCCTACTGTTCCCTCTGAGAAGTCACCCTCCCCCCAACTTTCCCCTTCTCGCCACTCAGGCCCCTTCCCCAGCCTGTGCACACACTCTAGTCTCTCATCCGTGAAAAGGTCTCGCGGCCCCGGCTCTCCTCTCGGCCCCGGCTCTCCTCCCGGCCAGCCACGCTTCCTCAGACAGAGGCCTGCTCCTCCTTACTCCGTTGTCGCCCCCTCGCTCACTCCTCAAGTCGCTGAACCTGGTTTTCATTCCTGATGACATTCCCACTGACCTCCTTTTGGCCTAATCGTTGAATGCTCATTGGCCTCCTCACCAGCACCCTTGGTGTCTGACGCTAGCGATCGCTCGTCGCAAGGCTCTACTTCCTGGGCGCCTGTGACGTCACGCGCTCCTGCTTCTCCCTGTGCCTCTTCAATTGCCGTCAGTCTGCCTCCTCCACGGGCTCCTTATCCTCCAGCAGCTGGTGTTGTCTACACAGGCCTCCCTCTTTGGCTCCTGGTTTTGATTTGATTTTAACTCAGCAGATTGGCTGATGACGCAAGTCTCTACTGCCTTCCTCTTTTCTGAGCCTGAGACCTACATATTCACCCGTTGGCATGACATCTCCATCTGAACTTCCCTAAGATACCACAAGTTCGGCCAGGGTTGAACCTGGACCCTCCTCCTGTATTTCCAGCCTTGGTTGGAGGCCCTGCTGGCCACTCAGTCACCTGGCCTGGAAGGAGGGGTCGTCTTGGCTTCTTCCAGACGGTGACTGGCTTTGCTCTTCTCACTTGCTGTACACGATCGCCAAGGCCCCTAGGTTTTGTACAACCCCTCCCTGCCCATCTCTCTTGTCACCGACTGGTCTGGGTCCCCACACTTTATCTTCTTCCTGCAACCAGTCTAATCTTCTCAAATCCAACCACCATACAGATTCATGAGTGTTTGATAAATGGAAAGCTGACCATGTCATTTCCTTGCTTGAAACTGTCAGGGGCATGGTGCTCTATCCCTGCCATACCTGGTCATTTCAGCTGATCTTACAATCCTGATGGAAGAATAAAGGGACAAAGTAGCCAAGACAAATCCTAAGAAGAATAGTACAGGACTTGCCCTACCCGGTATCAGACCCGAACACAAAACAACAGTAATTCAAACAGTCTGGGGTTGGGGCATGGGCAGAGAACTGTTCAGTGAATCAGAAGTGAAAACCTGGACTTATTTCATGGTGGTGGCGGCATTACAATTCAGAGGGTAGGGAGGCTCTTTTCAGTACGTGGGGCTAGAACCACTGGGTTCCACGTGGAAAAAGGTGAAATTAGAGTCCTCCTACCTTATATTATACAAGTGGATTAATGCCATAAATGTGAAAAGCAAAAATGCAAAACTACTGGGAAAAAAACAGACAATCCTTATGACCTTGGGGAAAGGAAAGAAACAAAAGGCATAAACCCTAAAGGAAAAGAAATGAATAAATTTGACTACATTTAAAATTAAACATTTCTGCACCCAAACAAACAAACAAATAAATAAAAGACAGCAAAAGCAATGTTAAAAGGCAAGTTGTAGTCTGGGAGAAGGTATATGTCACCCACATCACCAGCAAAGGGTTCATGTTCAGATTTACAGAGAACTTCAAATACCAGTAAGAAAGAGACAAACCCACACCCCCAGAAAACTGGCAAAGGAGACAAACGGGGAAATTCACAAAAGAGGAAATGACCCCAATGACCAATAACTATAGGGAAAGATGCCTTAACCTCACTGGTAATAATGGGAATGCAAATTACAGTAAAAAACGAGGTACATTTTCACCTCATTAGACTGTAAAAAAATAATTAGCGTGACAATATCAAGTGTTGGCTAGGTGTGGAGGGACAGGAATGCTAGTCTGGGGCTCATCTGAGTGTCAAATACTTGGAAAGCAATTAGCAATGCTGAGTAAAGGTGAAGATGCCATGCCTTCATGGCATCACCGTGACCCTGGGATTCCAATTCTGGGTGTCTGCCCTCAGGAAACTCTTGCATAGCGCACAAGGGGACACGTTTACAATGATGTTCAATGTGGAAACAGCCTGCATGCCCCTCGGTAGGGAAATGGATAAGTGAGCTGTGGTCTATTCATTCAACAAATTCTACAGAGCAGGAAAAAATGAAGAAACTGGATCCACAGGTATCAGTACGGATAAAATCACAGAAGCATATGCTAAGTTGGAAGAGCAAGTTGCAAAAGAATGTTTATGTGGATGGCATGATGCCATTTATGTAAAATTTTAAAAACATACCCGAAAATGGTATATATGTTTGTATATAGGTATACCTGTAGTAAAACACAAAAATTTACACAGGGTAACACAAACTGTATCAGAACAGTAGACACCTCCATAGGGAAGAAAGGGAAAGGATGGGGTGAGAGGGACTTCTGCTCTATCTGTAATTAATTAAGAAAATATAAAGAAAGTATGGCAAAATGTTAACTTCTGTTAAACATGGGTGGGAGGTACAATGGGTATTCTCTATGTATAAATGTTTCGTCATTTAAAATGAGCATACTTGAAAAATGAGTGGACACCCCTTCTGTGCCAGGCATCGTGCTAAGGGGCTGTGTTGGACTCCAGATCCGTCCTTCTCCACCCTGTGCCATGAACTGGGGGCTGCACTACGGGGCCTAGGTCAGTGGGCTCCCTTCCGTCTGGCTCCTGGTCAGCTCAGAATGATGGGGAGTCCGGGCCAGAGACAGGGGAAGGGAGGACAGCGAGGCTAGGGCACCACTTCCTGCAGCTCTCTCCTGTGGTCACCCCTGAGAGGTGCAGTCTCCAGGCCCCCTCTGCTCTGGTTTTGGTAACCGCTGCTTCCCTGCACCCTTGCAGGCCTAGGGGCAGTTACAGTGCCCCACTGTTTCTAGCCGGGGGTGCTGGGCTGTGCCTTGGGCTTCCCGA